CGGGGCCCTGAATAGTAGCCACGGTCGTCCGCATGCCACGAAGTGAAGTGTCCGAACGTCATAGGGCGGGAAGCTGGGTGTGGGTGGTGGCGAAGAGTCGTTTGGAAATTTGGTAGAGCTTGAACCGGCCCCCCCACAAAGTGGGGGTATTGCCCGCCTCCTATGAAAACCCTGGCACTGGTGAGAACGGAGTGTCCCCACGTGCTAGTAATTGTTGTTGTTGTTGTTGTTGTTGTTGTTGTTGTTGTTGTTGTTGTTGTTGTTTGTTGTCGTCGTCCCACCCGCAACCCGCCCCGCGACCCACCCGCGACCCACCCCGCGACCCACCCCGCGACCCACCCGCGACCCACCCGCGACCCACCCGCGACCCACCCCGCGACCCACCCCGCGACCCACCCCGCGACCCACCCGCGACCCACCCGCGACCCACCCCGCGACCCACCCCACGACCCACCCCGCGACCCACCCGCGACCCACCCGCGACCCACCCGCGACCCACCCCGCGACCCGCCCGCGGCCCACCCCGCGACCCACCCGCGACCCGCCCGCGACCCACCCGCGACCCACCCGCGACCCACCCACCCCGCGACCCACCCGCGACCCACCTTCGACCCAAACCACGTTCAAGGTACAAACCAACATTTTCGGCGCCTGCGGCTGGCTTTTTTTGTTTTTTTTGCATTCCTTCCAGGTGGAGACCCGCGGCCCACCCGCGACCAACTCGCGACCGACCCGCGACCCAAACCACGTTCAGGATACAAACCGCATTTTTCGGAGCCTGCGGCGGGCATCTTTTGCATTCGTTTCAAGTGGACAGCCCGCGGCCCACCCGCGACCATGTTCAGGGTACAGACCAATTTTTTCGGCGCTTGCGGCGGGCATCTTTTGCAGTCGTTCCCGGTGGAAAACCCGCGACCCACCCGCGACCCAAACCACGTTCACTGAACAAACCAATGCCGCACAAGCGCGGCGGCGGATTTTTGCATGCCGTCTGAGCCCGCAACGACCTCTTCAAGCCCCGCGCATCCACGCCAGCCCGTCCAGCAACTTTGCCCTGGCGAGTTGCCTTGATCAGAGAAGTCGGGGAGCATAAAGTGGAAAAAAGGATTGCGTTGCCGTTATCTTGGGAAAGGAGGGGGAGGCAGGAGGAGTAAACAGGGGACGAGGAGGACGCGGAAGAAGAGAGGATGTAAGGATAATGTGGAGAAAGAGGAGCAGGAGGACAGGAGGAGGAGGGGGGAGGAGGAGGAGGGGGAGGAGGAGGGGACGAGGAGGGGGAGGAGGGAGGGGGAGGATGATGATGATGGACGACAATGGGAGGACGATGATGGAGGCCGATGAGGGGGAGGACGACAATGGGAGGACGATGATGGAAGGACGAGGGGGGGAGAGGGAGGACGAGGAAGAAGAGGGAGGAGGATGAGGACGAGGGGGACGAGGACGAGGACGGAAAGAGGAGGAGGAGGAGGAGGAGGAGGAGGAGGAGGAGGAGGAGGAGAGCGCCATCGACAGGGAAGGTGGGGGCCACGAGGTCCGCCGGCTCGACGATGCCCACGTCGCCCGCGCCCGCCCCCTCACTCTTATCCGCAATTGCGGGGTGCTATGTATTATTCCTCAGGTTTCTTGCCCCCCCTGTCCCTCCAGGGACGCCCCGCCCAGAGCGCGGCAGGGCACCTTCATGCCAAATGATTGTTCAGGCTTCCTGCCCTTCCCGCGCCTCCGGGGAGGCCGAGGCCCCAGACACAGCCCACAGAGACACCAAGCCCGCCCACGGAGCCCACAGAGGCCCCAGCACGCTGCCCTCTGAGGCCACACAGCCCGCAGAAGCCCCAAGCGCGCCCGCAGAGGCCCCAACAAGCTGCCCACAAAGGCCCCACGCGCGCCCACAGAGGCCCCAACACGCTGCCACTGAGGCACAGCCCTCAGAGGCCCCAGCACGCTGCAGATACTGTTTCGAAAGGCTCCCGGACAATCCGAAAAACTTGGAGCTATCTTCGGGCGATGGTTGGGGACGCTTGGAAGCGCGTGGAGGCCATCTTGAAGCAAGCTGACCTATCTTGCGCCATTTTGGAGGCCACCCGGAGCATTCTTGAGTCCTCTTGGATCTATGTTGGGACATATTCATCACGGGAGCCCCTTCCAAACCAAGGGAAGAGCCCAGGGATGGCGCAGGGGGCAGGGGGGGAGGCAAGCTTTCCAAAGGAAAACGTTTATAAGAGCAATCCCCCGTTACCAACAAAACCCGATGGTGGGATTCGAGGAGGGGCGGGAGAGCTTCCTGAACACCCGTCCTACTCCTCCCTGCTGTTCCCCCTGCTTGCCTCCGTCTGCCCTTACGCCCTTAAATACATACATATTCTTGCGATGGGCCTTCCATCCGTAGTGCTATTATTATGCCTCATCGATCGCGGGGAGCCCTTAACATCCTTACGTGGGGAACTTCGATAACAGATGTGTCTCAATGTTCGTCATCAGACCCTTTTTGAAAACTGCTCAAAGACGGCCCTGCCGTTTCCAGGGCCCACTAGATGTGTGCACCTTGCGTGCTGGTGCAGGGATTGCCCGAGAGCGCAGTGGCCAAGCCTAGTCAGCACAACTGGCACAACCCAAGGAGGGTGTGTGCGTGCGTACGCGAGTAGCGCGCCGCTGCGCTGGATAAAAGAGAGATCACAAGCAAGCAGTCATGCATTCGGAATCGCCCATGTAAGCGATATTTGGCCTGTGTCCACACGGGGGCCCTCTCAGAGCAAGCGATGACGTCAACCGTACCAGTGGCGACGTCTGCAGAGGCGACTTCGGCTTCGGATCCGCCTGTCGCGCTGGTGCACGGGACCCCCCTTGAACGGCAAAAGAAACTGAGATAACTCACGAGGCGGTGCTCGGAAACACCCAGGCAGGAAGTTCCCGTTTGGGTCCGATGCACCGCTGAACTCCCCAATGCCTGTAGAATCTGCAACACCTTTGCGCGTGTGAAAGCTTGAACGATGTACGCTGCAGCTGCATACGAGCGCACATACTGAACATAGATGTCCTGTCTCTGTTCACCATTATTCCTTTCTCTCCTCAGCCTCCTCCTCCTCCTCGTATCCTTCTGTGGTTTCCTGTCCTCCTGCGTGCTCTCACTCCCTCTACCTCATCTTCCCGCAACACCCTTGTGCCCGGCAGCAGGCGATATCCCCCGATCGGTTCTGCACACCGCGGGGCTGCCCTGGACACCCCAAGGGCCCATGACACATGTAAAAAGTGTGCCGCTGGCAGCACCCAGGGTGAGGGAGGTGAACATGGTGACCCCCCCACCAATGACACACACACACACACACACACACACCCTGCTTGCAATGCTCGGTCCTCGCCCGAGGAACCAACGGCGGACGTTTCCAGGGGGGGCGTCCCGCGGTCGGTCCAGCGCGCCGGGCTCCTCGGGCCAGGCTGGGTCAGGCGGCCGCCCTCCAGGCGCGGTGCCCACTCCGTCCGCTCCCCCCCACCCCGGGGCCCGAGGGGCCTCCTGGACAGCGCAGGGCGCCTGGGCGCCTCCCGTGGCCCCATGGGAGGGGGAGGGGGGCGCACCACCAGCCCATGGGGCGGGGTCCGCGCGGGGTGTCGTGCGCTCTCCGCGCTCGTCGGCCTCTTCCGCCATGTCACCGCTGCGGACGTGGGCGCCCTGTGGCTCGGCGAGGCAAACTTTTGGAGCGCGCCTGCGGTGCGCTCCGCGAGCGATGCTTGGAGATCTCGAACGAGCGATGCGGCTGTTCCTTAGGCAGCTGCGCGGAATGTGTTCGCAGATTCGAAGGAGACGTCGGAGCAAGTATGGTTAATTAGCCAAGTTGGACATACCCCAACCTTTTGACAGCGAGGGTGTCCAAGGCTCGGCGCCAGTGCGACTCGAATGGGATGGGGCAGAAAGAGGTCGAGCACCTGATCGAGCATTACAGACCCGGGAGCCTGATGTAGTGATCGCGGTGGCAACGCCGAGTGGGGGTTGCATGCTCAGGAAGACGACGCGGACAAACCAGGGTCTGGTGGCCGAGGTGGGACGGCGAGCGACAGGGGCCAACACTACACAATGATATTGTTCAATCGCGCTGCCGAGCGGGAGCATCTGTCCACTGGCTGCGCCCTCCTCGCCATTGCTTTTCCTCCTGCCCCTTCTCCTGCTTCGACTTCGGCTTTTCCTCGTGTTTCTCCCCCTCTTCTTCTTCTTCCTTCCCCTCCAGTGTCGTGACGACGCCCTCGTCCTTCGCGATCGCCCTCGCCCTTTCCGACGCTGCGCCTGCACCAGGGCGCAGTCGTCCGTTGGGCGCACGTCACTCCGAGGGCTCACAAAGCCAGCGTCACACGCTCACAACACCAAGCGGGCGGGGATGCAGACCCTACCCACTTTCTGACCGGCGCGTCCGACCGGAAGATCTCGGACCACCGGGGGATCCTCCGCTGCACCTCCTGCTGCTCGGCCGCTGTCACACGAGCGGCGACGAAGGCCCGCCAGAGGGCTGGACTAGGGGGGTCGCGTGCTTATCTGGAGACTTGGCCCCCCTCCCGGTCTCTCTCGCCTGTGGGTTTTCAGCTTGGCATCCGCCGGTCAGGTCTTTCATTCCGGGGCCCAGAGGTCAGTCGAAGCCAGGACGAGGATAAATTCGGGCGAGCATGGATGCAGAATCTCTGAAATCTGGCGGCTCTGGAGGATGTATCGGGCGCCGCGGCCTTCTGGGAGCGTTCCAGAACACTCCGAGAGCGCTCCAGGGCGCCCTGGAACGGATCTGTCCTTGACCCAGCCCCGCCCGACGAGGTCCTGACCGCTTCCCCGAGGATATGTCTCCATCCTGATTCCGTTTTGGAGGGCCTCTCGGCCCGACCACGGCTCCTAAGGGGCCGACCTCGAGGACAAGACCGCCACTCGAAGAAACACCGAGTCGTCGGAGACCCGGGCCCGAGGGGCAACGCCTCGAACAGAACCTCGGGCCGCCAGGTGGGCTGGGCCCTCGTGCCCCCCAGCGGCGCGCCTGCTGCAGGCCCCCGGTGGCGTCCGACACCGTCACGGGCTGGGCGGCGGCCAGGGAGCCCGCGTCGGACACCGCCGCGCTGCGGTGCGGGGCGGCGAGGCGGAGACGGACACCCACCTCGTGGACCTGCCAGCGCCATCGACCTTGATCGAACCTCCTCTCCTCGCGTCCTCCTCCCTCCAGCCTCCTGCCATCTGTCCTCGTCTCCTCCGGTCCTGCCGTCCTCCCGACTTGGACGCCCGAGTTATCCGGGATAACTCTGGTCCAGGGTAACTTGGGCCTCTGACGCACGGACCAGGAGTTACCCCTGACAGCCCCCAGCCTCGATGATTCGGGAGTGACTGGACGCCCGAATCATCTGGGATATACTTCCAGTCGAGGACATCTCCGGTTTGGGCCCCCGATGCACGAATCAGGAGTTACCCCTGACCACCCACCTGATGATTCGGGGCTACCCTGAGAGCCGACGTAGCGAAACCATGAAAACCTCATAAGAACCTCACGACAGGTGTCCTAGGCCCCATCGTTCTGCACCATGTTTCGAGCCAGATCGATCTGTGACTGTCCCGGGGCCCGAAACCAGGCGAAAACGCCAGCTCGAACAAATTGCGACGCACGTAGCCGTGTCTGGTGAAGATGTGGAGGGCGAAACGCCACCACGCGAATTCGAGGCGTGTCGTACAATTTCGATGGCCGTGGCACTGTGACTCAACAAGGCCAAGGCCACACAGACAGCTGCCTCTATTCTCACTGCGTTGTCACGGTCGCCATTTTGGCTCAAGCCATTTTGGCTCAAGTCGACCGCTCAAGGGCTTCCCGTGGCTCCTCACACCTGTGTCTGGGGTTCCCCCTTTTACCCCCGTATCCCGGAGGTGTCTATCTACAATTTCGTTTTCTCTCACACCACCCTTGTGGGCTGCGATGTCTTCTTCTGGTGCTCGCGTGTCAGGTGCCCCTGTGAAACAGTTCTTCAAGGCGGAGAGACACAACATCGCTTCACCGTCCTCTTCCCCGGCAGCACCTGCTTCAAAGACTGCTCGTGTCCACAGCCCTTTGAACGAGATGGACGGTGTGGACGTGGGAGCCCCAGCACCCGCAGGACCACCACGACCAGTGGATAACGGGGCAGATGCACAAGCACATGCACGGCAACTTCAACTCCAACGTAGCCTCATGGCAACAAATCAGGAGCAGCAAGGCCCACATCCACATCCACCTACTTTGGAGCAGATCGCCAGCGTAATCCGCAAGGAGGTGCAACCGATCCGCGACACGATCGGCAGCCTCGAGCGTCGCCTGAATGAGATGAGCGGTACCGTGAGCACCAGGTTCGAGGAGGTCGAGGAACACATCGAGGACATCGCCATACGCCTCACCGACCTTCAGAATGAAGCCTCCGAGCAGGCTGGCTCCGCAATCACTCCCCGGAGCGATGACACAGCCATCTGGGACCACATCAAAACGCTGGAGGGCGAGATCTCGCAGCTGAAGGTGATCGGCAAACCAGAACATGCACAACATTCAACACTACAGGGTAAGCAAAGCGGGGTCTCACGGCGGTAATCGGAAAACTTGTTGGATTCGATTCTAAGTCAGCAGCCATCTCTTGGGTCAACGACACACTTTCTTCCTTGTCAGCGCCGGCGGCTATTGACATCTACTCTAAAGGTGACTTCAAAGACATTATCTTCGCAATATTCGCTAACGAAGCCGATCGAGACCTCGCGGTTAGTATCTTACGGCGTACGAGTCCTGGTCACGGAGGGGCAGCAATCTGGGCTACACATGATAAGCCGCCTTCTTTACGTGCCGCTCGGAACGTATGTCTTGGATTGAAACACCTCCTCAACAACGAACTGGACAACAAGTTCAAGATCCACTACAACCGACGAGTTTCCTTATCAAGTAGTCGTGGGCGGTGATACTGCAGTTTCCGTATCTGTGCTGGGGTCTAACCTTGCATTAGAATGGGGCTCAGAAGGGGAAGCCTGGGACGATCTTCAACAGCATCCCAAGCTCATCGAACTCATTGCGAACAACAGAACGCTCCTGGCGAGCAGGCGAGGACATGAAAGGCTCAGCACAAGGCAGAGGCAAAGGTCATTAGGAAACACGGCCAGACCCCAGAGCCGGCCCAGAGATCGTTTTGTACATAAGTCTTTGTCCGCAGTGGGTAAAGCTACCATTCCCGTCGCTACGTTCCTGGGCAAAGATACCGTCGTACTGCGACCAGCGGTTGTTTCACATTCCTTACCACCTTGTGCTAAACTACGCCCTGGACCTGTTCTTCCTCCCTCCGGCCGTCTTCATCGCGAAGGCTTCCTGGAACCGTCTTCTTCAACAGGCCATGCTAGGGGTAGGCCCCGGTCTGCTTGTCACCCTTGTTGACCTGGTCCATTGGGCACGTGGAATGTGGAAGGCTTACGCAGCAATTCGATCGTCAAGATAGACGAGCTTTTTGACATCATGCGCATACGAGACTTGAATATTCTCTGCTTGCAAGAAACTCATTTGCATGGTTCCGAATACTATTCTCGAGATGGTTACACTATATTTTTGTCGGGCGAACTGGACTTGAAATTACGATCGCACGCTGGAGTGGGTTTCACAGTGGCTCCACGTATCTTGAACAGCATTGTAGCTTTCAAAGCGTGCACCTCCAGAGTGGCTTCATTGATAATCAACGTCAAAACTGGCATGCTGACCCTTCTCTCGGTATGTGCTTCTCACACTCGTCGTCCTTATGCGGAGCGCCAGTCTTTCTACGCGGACCCACAAACGCAAGTTCGGGCGACCACCGCGCACAGCACAACGTACATCATGGGAGACTTAAACGCTATATTCCTGCAGGTCGGAACCAGAGAACAAAACATTATTGGACCTCACGTGTTTGAGTGCTGTGATGTTGGGGATACGTCAGTGCCAGCCGCTGTTTCAAACAGGCAGCTCTTGATGGAAATGTGTACGTCCTACGACCTCAGCGTCTCTCCCACAGCCGATGCCATATCTGGACATAAATTCGCTCAGATTGACCACGTGTTGTGCCATCGCAACGTTCTTCACGCCGTCAAGGATATCTGGACGAGCCGGCAGGACATTCTGAACACACATCATTACCTCACCATCTTGGAATCAAATTTGGCATTCAGAGTCGAAGAGTGCCCAAATAAAGAATTCATGGACAACTCGAGCCTCAGAGATCCGTACACAAAACATTTATTTATATCAGCATTTGTTGGGGCCGTCGGCAGTTCAATGTATAATTAAACTGATGCGGTTGATGTTGCTAACAATTGGATTCGACATGGTTTCGAAAAGGCGGCTGAAGTGGTGCCCAAACGAAAAGTGGGCCCCAAGCAGGCGTGGACTAGCCAGCGCACGCTCGACTTGATCGAACAACGCAAGCAAGCACGTTCAAGCGGCGACCACAATGCGGAAAAACAGTTCCGTCGAATGATACGGAAATCAGGGGCACAAGATCGCAGCGACTGGCTGGATTCATTGATATAGAGGGGGGGAGGGTGGGAAGCAGCTCGACATTTCAAAACACCCACAAGTATCAAGCACGCGTCGATACAGCGTCCTGATGGAACCCTTGCAGACCCAGCTGAACGAGCAGATGTGTTGGCCGACTACTTCGAAGACGTTCAATGGCAAATTCGTTTCCCAGAAAGCACTCCGGAGCCACGCCCACCCCTAGGCAATCAGCTGCCTATCAACACGGGTCCGTTTATCATGGAAAAACTCGTCGAAGCGCTTCGCCGGCTACGTCGTGGTAAAGCTACTGGATGCACCAGCGTCTGCTTCGAGGTGGAACTGAATCCAGAATGCGGGGGTCACAATTTGGGTTTCGCCCTGGGCGTGGGACAGCCGACGCTCTCATGCTGGTACGGCGCATGGTTGACGCGGCACACGCTAACAAGAATGGTGGCCTTATTTTGTTGATGTTGGACTGGGCGAAGGCTTTTTGACAGACTGAAACCATCAAGTATGCGCGGCGTTCCACAACGCTTTGGGCTTCCATCGGACATGGTAGTTATGATAGAAGCACGCCGAACGCTACTTCACGATCGTTGACCACACGGGAAAGTCCACAGAAAAACAGCAGCAGGCCGGCATCGCGCAGGGATGTCCTCTTTCCCCATACTCGTTTGTTGCAGTACAGTCGGGCATGTTGCATGACGCTTTTTTTTGAGACGATCAATTTCGAGACTGACCCCGCCTACGTGGTGACGCGAGACCTAGTGTATGCAGACGACACGCTGCTGGCATCGCAGAGCAAGACGAATGTCCAGAGCATGCTGAATGCTGTTGTGGCGGAGGGGCGAAAATACGGTCTCGAGCTTAACTGGAACAAAACACTCCGAATGCATATTCTACAAATGACTTGGTTGTCTGGCCTGATGGTGGTCCTATCAAAGCCGTCCGCAGAACGGTCTACCTGGGAGGGATGATCGGTTACGATGGTAAAGCAACTCCCGAAATCACCCGCCGCCTGGGGGAAGCGCAGGGCATCTTCAACAAGTTGGCAAAGATATAGTCGCACACCGCGGTTGGCTGGAAACGAAAAGTCAAGTTGTACGAAAACGTTGCTTTAAGCAAACTGTTGTATTCACTTGATTATTCGTGGCTGTTAAAGGCAGATACAGGCAGGCTCGACGCATTTCTTTGCCGCTGCCTGCGGCGCATCTTGGGCATACCACACTCGTATCTGTCGCGCGTGAACAACGCAGACGTCATGGACAGAGCTAGCACCAAACCTTTTTCCCAGATTCTGCTTGGAGGACAAGACAAGTTGTATCTCAAAATCGCAGCAAATGGTCCTTCTTTGTTTGTATGCAAATGCTTATGTAATCTTGATGGTACTCCCAAGAACTGGGTGGTGCACTGGAGGCGCGGCCGACCCAGGCAGCAGTGGGCTACCGAAGTGTACAAGACAGCGCAGCATATCTGAGATATCCTTGTTTTGTCCTCCACCTCCTCTCCTCTTCTATCGCGCCTTTCGTATTGTCCGAAGAGTTGCCAATCGCGCGCTCTTCTGCCCACGCGTCCCTCCAGATGCTCGGCTTAGTGGTGGTGTCACGGTCGCATGTTCAAGACCTGAGCCAAAATTGCTACGGAACGCGGTGTTGAGCGGTGTTGAGCGAAGATGCGCCGTATCCTGCGGTGTTGAACGGTGTTGCACGCTGCTGCGCGGCGGCGTTGCCCTGGCGAGCTGTGAATTCTCAGAGTGAGAGGCCTAAACGGTCCTGCACTGTCCCTGGGTGCGTGGCTGACGTACGCTTCCGCGGTGCGGACTCCCGCTCCTCTTCTCGATGCTGGCCCCGCCCCGCGACCCACCCGCGACTGGCCCTGCGACCCAGCCCCGACCCACCCCGCGACCACCCCGCGGCCGGCACGCGGCCCAACCGCGACCCACCCCGTGACCCTCCCACGACCCACCCACATCCCCTTGACGTCAAAATCGACGTCTGCAACGGGCTTCTTCACGTCTGCTTCCGAGCCTCGCATGCTGCCGACGACCCCTGCCCCCTCGCTCTCATATCCCCAGCTGCCGACGCTGTGGTAAATTCCACGAACCCCCTATTGGATCGGACACGCACGGAACTCCCTGCATCTCGCCCGGCCAACTGCATCGCCGGTCGCAACGCGCGTAAAATCGCACGCCTTGGATGCGCCGTCTGGTCAGCGTCGCGGCGGCCGCCGAGGCGACCGACTTCTGCCAACCATCGAAAGTTATGCTGCTTTGATCGGTCCCCACTCCAGAATGCAATCTTGGGGCCCTCTTGGCCATCTGGGAAGCCCTCTTGGGCCGTCTTGAGTCTTGGGTCTATCCAGAGGCCCTCTTGGGCTCTTGGGCCAGCTTGGGGCCGTCTTGGGTCGTCTGAGGGTCCTCATGGGGCTGTCAGTGGGCACGTGTGGGCTTTCAAAGACCGCACGTGTACCGATCTTCACGTGAAGCAGGGTTAACCAAGAAACGCATTTGCTTGGAAGGAGCCCCACCCGCGAACGCGAGGAGAGATACCCAGGGAGATCCCACACACCTGGGGCCTGGCGCCGCGGAATGCAGTTGCCATTTGTCGAGGGCACGAGTCGGGATACCCGGGCAGCACTGTCACACTCTGGGCTTGGCAGTCGCGATATGCAGGGTGGGCGGGGCGGGCCGGGAGCTGTTTCCTTTAGTTCTATGGCCCCAACCTGTTGGGTGGGGAAGCACACCAGGAGAGCCTCTCCTGCCCACCATCCGCCCAGAACGTGCTGACCCAGAAGGAAATCACCCAAGGGAAGGCACTCTCCAAATTCAGATATTCGGCACACCTGTGCAGCACCCAAATGGGCAACATGATACTCCACCAGCCTTGAAAACTCGGACCGCTAAAGCTTGGCTACCCGTTGAATCCCATTGGGCGCCCGCGACCCAGACAGCTATAACACACGGCAAAAGCATTGGCCACAAAATAGGTTTCGCACATTTCCTCACAGGACGAGCCCACACCTGTTCATATCACGACCACAAGTCATCACATCACGGCATCTGAACACAAGAAGCCTGCGGGACCCTGATCGCAAGTAACGTGTCTATGTTAGCATCCGTTGCTCAATTGCACTGTCTTGCCTCATCGAGGAAAGCGTCCCGACGCGCGCCACGGCTCGAGAGTCCCAGCTAAGAGCTGACATGTCTTCGCCCACTGCGATGCTTCGTAAACTCTGCACGTGCAGACACAGGCTAGGTGCTGGGCGAACGCAAGCAGGCAAGCTGAGTCAAGCCTTGGCAGGGCGAGCCAGACGATCATTATACGTCGCCAGGCCAAATCCCTGCACGCCTAAGCCAGCAATGCCATGCAACATTGTGTTGAGTGAACCCCACATTTCCTGGCTGATCCAGGCTGGAGCCAAGTTGAGATCAGCTAGACAGGGTAACGAAGGGCGAGCTTCGTACAATACTAGTAGAAGCGCGATAACTGAGGAGCAAACTAGGAACAAGTCGCGCGTAAAATGGCATTCGCAATACGGCTGTGCGCATGCCCAGGAGATGCATGGATAGACAACTGCAGAAGCACAATGCAGGCAAAATAAAAAGCAGGAGCGGGGCAGGGATGGGGAAGGAAAGGCATGGGCATGGGTGAATTGCAGTAAGGGATGGAGATACAGGATCGGCGCAGGGCGAATGGGGGGGGCACTCCTGGAGTTTGTAGGGCAACCGATGCCCGCTTGTCGGCAGCACCACTGCTTCTTCCTCGCCGGCCACGGGGCTTCGCTGAGGCAGGGGAACGAACTGATCGACCAGAGGCATTGGAGGGCAGGGGAGGCAGGGGACAAGAAGGTCAAGGGAAGGTTGGCGCAGGTGGGAATGGGCCCCTCCCTGCTTTCCCCTGATACGAAGAAGGGAGGGAGCCCACGAGACCCCGACAACCTTCTCCCAAGCAATCCTACTGCGGTCGTAGCCCGTCTGGAATATCAATGCGGGGAGTGTGCCCGTCGCGGTCCCAGTTTCTTCATCTCATAAGCGCTTAGGCAAACGAGCAATACGACATACATATATACATATAATACAGTCAGCAAAGCAGGATAAACGCGAGCCAAAGGCAAACTCAAAAACTAAACTCACGAGAATACCATGTTGCAAGCTGAGTTGTGCAACATATGTTGCAAGCTGCTTGGTGAACGCTATATGGTGGAAGCCATGTAGTGGAAACCATGTAAGGCCTGTGGTGCTGTGTGTGTTGCATGCTCTGTGGTGCAAGCTGCATGCTGCAAGCTATGCGGTGCAAGCGCTGTGATGTAAGCTGTCGGGTGCAATCTATGTCATGCAATCTCGGCGCTGGCCAGCGCTCGAGGCGTCCACAAAGCGGCCAAGGGCGCCCGCGAGTAGAAAACTCAGAACTCCCAGCAAACACGAGGCGCCCACGAGGGGGGCACGGGCGCTCACCCGTAGAATACCCAGAACCCCGAGCAAACACGAGGCGCCCACGAGGCACCCACGGGAAGTGGAGTGCCCCAAGGCTCACAGTTGTGCTGCCGCTGCGGCCGCAGCTAGGATTCTACAGTCTTAAGGGCCCGGATAGCCTACAGGCACGCTGAAAGCAACCGGCACTTCAAGCTGAGGCCACAACTGACAGCTGGCCACAGGTAAACTACAACGAAAGCAGACTACGTCATCACTCGCGAACGGGCAAGGTAAAAAGGCCAGCTGGAGGAAAGCGTCCCTCAATGGAGCAGCAGTGCAAGCTTTGAATAACATCCATACAACGACAAACGAGAAGTTCGAGCAGCTTCGAGGAAGCTGCGGGGGTGGGGGACTGAGCGCCACGGGGCTCCCTTGCCCGGTCTCTCTGGCAAAACGGAATCGGACGGGACAGACACGTCATCCTCCTTGAGGTTTCGGAAGCCTGCGAGAGACAAGAGCGTTGGAAATAAATCGAGATAGGGCTATAGTAACCCAAAAGTAACTTTACACGAAAACCATGAAGTATCAAAAAAGAGAAGGCGCAAGTAGGTCGATTGCGGCGGGCGGCCAAGTAACTGACCCGTGGATAGGGCGCACTGGCCGCGCTTACCGCAAGGGGTCAGGCACCTGGGCACCGTGCTCAGTAGGTAAAGCCCCCACACCATACCTTGCGCATGAATTGGGGCGCAAGTCGACCAGAGCACGTTATGCTCCCAACGCTACAATGCTTTCCTGCAAAAGCAGAGTGACGAGCAGGGTAAGGAAGAGGGCTATGGGACCTGTCCTGGGGGGCGCTCCGACCAGGGTTTCGACGCGAGTTCAACCGTGGCGACCAGAAGCCTCCAGGAGGCCAACTGGAAACCTTATTCCTTGTCATCGTCCTTCCCTGCTGTCCCCCGATATCTCCTGTACGCGCGCACCATTCCTCCTCCTCCACTCCCCTCGCTGAGCCCGCAGAACGGGAGTCACAGCGGACCCCCGAGGGGGAAACTCGCGCGCATCTGTTGCAAGCAGTGGGTCTTCGGGGGTACGGTTTCCACGATAGTCGGCACCAGTCGTTACAATGTTTGCTTGGCCATATTGGCGTCCCTTGGGGGTCGGGCGGTCTTGGAATCCCGCTGAGGGCCTTTTGGTGCCCATGGGGCATGGAACACGTGAGCGGTATGCCGAATTTGGACTTCCTGGAGCCGCTTTGACATGCGAACTGGGAGCCCCTGAGGATCCATGGGGCACGACGTGCGTGAGGGGTGTGCCGAATTGAAGCTCCATTGCGCCGTCTTGAGGAGCCAGCTGACAGCCCCTGGGGGGCCGTGGGGCACGAATTGCGTGAGAAGTGTGCCGAATTGAGCTCGCTTGAGCCGTCTTGAGGAGCCAGCCTAGGACCTCTGGCGTTCATGGGGCATGCAGTGCGTGAGGGGCGTGCCACATGTTAGCTGCGTTGGGCCGTCTTGAAGAGCCATATGAGGGGCTCCTGGGAGCCCACGAGGCAAGAAGTGCGCGAGAGGCGTGCCGAATTGAGGCCCTCCTCTGAAGTACTGGAGATCAGCTGACCCTCTCCTCCGAGCCCTCTCTCACCCTCACCCGACCCCCCTTCCTCCTCCGACCCCCCTCTGCATCCTCCGACCCTCCTCCCTCCTCCGACGCCCCTCCATATCCTCCGACCCCCTCCCCCATCTCCCACCTCTGACCCTCGTCCCCCTCCCTCCACTGACCCCCCTCTCCCTCCTCCGACCCCCCTCCCCCTCCTCCGACCTCCTCCCTCTCTCCCTCCTCCAACCTCCTCTCCCCCTCCTCCGGCCCCAGTCTCCATCCTCCGACCCCCCTCCTCCTCCTCCGACACCCCTCTCCCCCATCCCTCCTCCGACGCCTCTCCCTTCTCCACATGCTGTCCCCCCCGAGTCGTTTTGCGTGAGGGTTGCGCCGAATCGAGGCCCCGTTCAGCCGTCTTGGAGGTCAGAAGACCCCCTCCTCCGAAACCCCTCTCCCCTCTCCCTCCTCCTCCCCCCCCTCCCCCCATCCGACGCCCCTCTGCTTCCTCCGACCCCCCTCCCTTCTCCGACGCCCCTCCATCTCCTCCGACCCCCTCCCCCTCTCCCTCCTGCGGCCTCCATCCCCCTCCCTTCTCCGACCCCCCTCTCCCTCCTCCGACCCCCATCCCCATCCTCCGACCCCGCTCTCTCCTCATCCCTCCTCCGACGCCTCTCCCTCCTCCGATGCCCTCCCCCTGCTACCCTCTCCCGCGCACGCCTCCTCCGACCCCGTTTCAATTCTTCGCCTCAGGAGTTTGCTATAGGGCTGCGTTGGTACTTCTTTTCGAGTGGGGTTGCGCCCGGGGGACAGGGAGGGAGGAAGCATAAGAGGGGCAGGGAGAGAGAAAGCAAAGAGCAATAATAAACAAAGAAGGGAAGCCGGGCTGAGAAGGAAGGAAGAAGGGAGGGAAGCCAGGAGGGGAGGACCTACTTTGGAGCTACTTCAGAGCTACTTTGGAGCTACTTTGGAGCTATACCGCCACGCCGAGGACACCCTCGGACCTACTTTTGAGCTACCCAGAAAACTACTTCTGGACACCCTCCATCTGGACACCTACTTTGGAGACCTACTTTCCGGACACCCTCCTTCCGGGACCTACTTCGGGGACCTACTTTCTGGACACCCTCTTTCCGGGACCTACTTCGGGGACCTACTTTGGAGCTACTTTGGAGCTACTTTGACTCAAAAGTAGCTCAAAAGTAGCTCAAAACTACCCCCCCTCCTCCGGAAGTAGCTCCGAGGTCACTCCCGCCGCCGGCTGGCCGCTGGGAAGTGGGTGCCGCTTGTTTCCTCAGGCGCGCCCCCGCTCGAGAAGTACCAACTCAGCCCTACAGCACACCCCTGAGGCGAAAAAGGGAAAAGGGGATCTGAGGAGGGGTACGTGGGAGAGGAGAGGGGGGAAAGGGCATCGGAGGAGGGAGAGGCGTCAGAGGGGGGGAGAGAGGAGGGTCGGTGGAAGGGGAGGGGGTTAGAGGAGGAGGAGGAGGGGAGTCGGAGGAGGGTCGGAGAAGGGAGGGGGGTGGAGGCCGCAGGAGGGAAAAGGGGGAGGGGGTCGGAGGTGATGGAGGGGCGTCGGAGGAGTGAGGGAGGTCGGAGGAGGCAGAGGGGCGTCGGAGGGGTGAGGGGGGGGAGGCGGAGGGAGTGGGGAGAGGGGTTTCGGAGGAGGGGGTCGTCTGGCCTCCAAGACGGCTGAACGGGGCCTCGATTCGGCACACTCCTCACGCAAAACGGCTTCGGGGGGACAACATTCGGAGAAGGGGGGGCATCGGAGGGGGGAGGGGGAGAGGGGTGTCGGAGGAGGAGGAGGGGGGTCGGAGGAGGGAGCCTGGGGCCGGAGGGCGGGGGGGGGAGGGTCGGGGGAGGGAGAGGAGGGAGGGAGGGGGGATGGGGGAGAGGGGGGTCGGAGGAGGGATGGGGGAGGGGGATCGGAGGAGGGGGGGATCGGAGGAGGACGAGGGCGTTCAGTGGAGGGAACGGGACGAGGGGGAGGAGGGAGCGGGGGAACGGGTCGGAGGGGGTGCAGGGGCGTCGGAGCGGGGAGGGGGGCGGAGGATGCAGAGGGGAGATGGGAGGAGGGAGGGGGCTCAGAGGAGGGAGGGTGAGAGGGGACTCGGAGAAGGGGGTCAGCTGATCTCCAAGACGGCAGAGGGGGGCCTCAATTCGGCTCTCCCATCGCGCACTTCTTGCCTCGTGGGCTCCCAGCCCCAGATTGCTTTTCAAGACGTCCCAACGGAGCCAACATGTGGCACGCCCCTCACGCACTTCGTGCCCCATGGACTCCCAGAGGCCTCGGTTGGCTCCTCAAGACGGTTCAAGGGAGCTCAATTCGGCACACCTCTCACGCCATTCGTGCCCCACGACCCCCAAGGGCTATCAGCTGGCTCCTCAAGACGGCGCAATGGAGCCTCAATCTGGCACACCTCTCACGCACTTCGCGCCCCATGGATCCGCAGAGGCTCCCAGTTCGCCTCTCAAAACGGCTCAAGGGAGCCCTGGTTCGGCATACATCTCACGTGCCCCGTGCCACATGTGCCCCCAGAGGCCCTCAGCAGGATTCCAAGACTGCCCGACCCCCAAGGGATGCCAAGATGGCCAAAGAAACATTGCAACGATTGGTGGCGACTCCCGCGGACACCTAACCCCCGAAGAATCAGCGATTGCGAAATATGCGTGCGAGTCTCCTCTCTGGGGGGCCCGCCGTGACTCCCGCTCTACGGGCTCAACAGGGATGGGGGGAGGCGGAGAGGGCGAATGAGAAAGAGAAGAAGAGGAGGTGGCAGATGACGGATGAATAAGGGGGGTCGGAGGCGGAGAAAGGGGATGGGGCGGGAAGCGGGCGGAGATGAAGAGGAGGGGGAAGGGAGGTCGGCACAAGGGAGAGGGACATGGGGATGGAGGGGGGCTGGGCGGAGGAGGGGCGGGGAGGCTCAGCCGAAAGAAGAATGGGGGGTGGGCTGAGGAGGGGGCGCGAAGGTATATGAGGGGGGGGAGAGCGAGACAGGACGAAGGCATGATGCATCATTCCTCTCCCGTGCGAACCAATCCTCGTCCTCCTCCCCCTTAATCCCTCATGATCCTCTTAATCCTCCCTCCTCCCTCCATCCTCATCGACCCGCCATTATCCTCCTCCTCGCATTCCTTCCTCCGTCCTGCGCCCCCTCCCTCCTCCTCCCCCCGCTCATCCCCCTCCTCCCCATCGCCTCTTCTGAAAAGGTTCGGAAGGATGAAGGATGGGCGCGGCGCGCCAACTAGGATGGGTTTCGCTCTCGCGGTAGAGCGGGTTACTTTTCGACGCCGCTCTTGCTTCCTGGCAACGCTCGACCTACTTATGACGGTTCGTGGCCCGTGTTGTGCCGGTACATTGGGATGCACGGCGGGAACCTAGTTGAAGCATACTTTAGTGCTATATCTTTTTTTTCTGCACCCCCCCTGCTCTCGCAGGCTTCCGAAACCTCAACATCCTCCTGACCTGACTGCTCCCCGCCAGAGCCGTGTGCGGAGATTCTGCTGCCCCCAACTCATGAGCAAAGGCGGTGCGCAGCCGTCCGGACGTGCCCAAACGGGATAGACTACGGGGACCCCATGTGTGGGAAGCCCACCGCCCCAGGCCATGAGCTTCTCCCGGCAGTCCTGGACGAGCCTCCCCCCTGTCTGGAGGATGGAGGGGTCCCTGGTGGCACCCAACCTCGTGGGAGCCCGTGCCAATACGTCAGTGGGCCTCTCAGGATCGACGACAGGCGCGCCTGATGTTAAACAGGTCGACGTGCTGGCGCAGCTCGCTTTGCAACCTCGGGCACGTCGCGTGCGACACAGAGAAAACCTCTAGGGAGAACCAACCAGGTGGTAACAATGGAGCGGAAGAGCAGCGGGATGGAGGGACAGCAGCTCATCTGAGAACGAGGCCCACCGACGAAAGGCGTGGCGACAATGTCGCCATCTCGTGCGCAAGGATCGGCACGTGGCGCTCGCCGGACAGGAATCGCCTGTGCTTCCGAGATGGCTGGCGGCATGCTCGCCACCGTCATTTCGGGAACGTTGAGGCGTGGGCCGTGCCTCGTCGTCGGGAGCGTGGAGCGAAACTGGCAGGGGCAGACGGTGAGCGGCGAGGCCAATCACGGAGCAGCACCTGAAGACATCTTCGGCCAAACCGCTGCGCCGATACGGTGAGGGCGTTGGTTAAGGAACCCTTGCATCAGGAGCCCAGCGTCTAAAAGCTGGTGGAACACGAATGGAGGATTAGCTATGGATACCATCGCCGCCCTCATCAGATGAGGAATCCTCCTGGGTCTGAAGCCTCTTGGGCACGTTCCTTTACGAACGCCCCCACCGTATTTTTAAACCTCAAAAGATCGGCTCCTGAACAACAGCCCTAAATCCCCCCTCGCTAGTTTTTCGGGCTGCGCCCCGCCGCCACGACGAGGAATTCCAGAACCGCACAACAAAAACTCAAAGGTCGACCCAGATGCTCGATCTGCGAGGCGGGGACTTGCCCCCCCCCGGACAAAATGTATCCAGGTCCATATCTGCCGCCTGCCGAGCCGAGGTCCCCGAAGATCGATCTGGGCGAGGAACCGAAAAGGGACGTCCAGCGGGTGGGCCCTGCGACGGCGCAAGCTCGCGCCCGTGCGTCCCGCGCGCGCACGGGGGGGGGTCCAGTGCGACCACTCCAGCTCCCACTGGTCGACAGCCGCGTCGCAGTCCACCTGAGGGCCAGCACTTTCTAGAGGGATTCTGCTGGATTCTGCTGCTGGGGCACACACGTGGCGCTGCTCAACAGCCCCTGGGGTCGCAGGCGATGGCGACCATGACGGGAAGCAATGCCGCCAGGCTGCCGTGGTGAAAACACATGCGCGAGCATTCACGTGTAGTTGCTGCGTCACCGGCGCGCTGCAATTGGCAACCGCTCCCAGGTTCCCACGTGCGGCGTCGATTTTCACAGTCCAGCGAGCTCATACCCCGAGATGCTGCCACTCACACGCAAGCTTCTGGACAACACAGTCCGGGTCGCACTGACCCGGGTCAATGCAAACCCAGGTAAGTGAGGCCTTGCAGGGTCCTGCAAGATCATGTAGGATCCTGCAGGATCCTGCGTGTTAGCTCGGGGTTAGTGCACTCCTGACCCTGCAGGATCCTGCAAGATCCGGCGCTCTGGCTGGCTCTCGATTGCATTGGCCCCCGTCTCAAGGCTCCCGAGAGAAGCCAGCCCCCCTCCCAACCGGGGAAACCTTGGCCCCGCTGGCCACCCTGCCCCGCCGGGAGGGTGAGGGATGCCGTTTTTCCTCCGCGTCTGGCAGCACCCATCCCCACCCAGGGGAGGAGCATGCTGGGAGGGTCACCTTACCATGTCCCAGCGGGGACATGGGATACCCCCCCCCCTCCAGACGGCGCAGCGGCAGATACGCGCGGCCGCATTCTCGCAGGCGAGAGGGAAAGGCGCAGAATTACCAAATGAGAGGTGAGGATGACCTCGACGAGTACAAACAAGCAGCACAACATTAAAAACAACAAACAAACTAAAGGCACGAATCGTATACAATAAGTGCGCGGTCTACAAGCTCGGAAAACGGTGTGATGAAGAATGCGTCGTCCCAAACCGCTTCACCCTACACCCATCTGGCATATTCATCCTCCGCCTCCTTCCCACATTATCACCCATTCTCGCAACCTTTCCGTCCCATAGTTATCGACATATACATATATAGATATCCCTTTCTGTCAAATCATTGGCTGACTCTCTAGTGTCAAAGTGCGGGACGTCATGCGCACTCTTTCACAACATGTGGAATGCATAGGCCAGACAATAGACTAACGAATGCTGCCGTGGTTTGGCACCTAGGCATAGCCTGGCCCTCACCTGTCCTCCATCTTCCGAGGCGAATATCACAGTATGTGATGCGGCACAGGCTTAGGAGTGTGCGCAAATCACTCACACCTGCGGTTTCGTGCACAGAGTGGGACATCACGAGCGCAACACAGCGCAATTCGAACGGAAGTCTCCTCCATCGAGCTTGCGAGCTAGGAGTTTGGGCCTCGAGGATGCCGACCTCCCGTCGGTGCGAGCCTTGGGTGAGCGCCTCCTTGCGAAAGACTCCAAGGCAGGCGGGGGCTCACGACGCCATGTCTGGACTGGCTCCTGTCCGCTGCCTCACCTCACCTTGCCACATAATGCCCCGCCTGTTCGTGTCATGCATGCGTCGCTGCATTATTGCACAATGTGCGAGGCGCGTGGTTTTGCATCGCCCGCTTCTCCTGCTCGGTCTCGTGCACAGGCGGCCGCCGCAGTCGGACGATCCCTCTCGATCCAGAGCTGTCGGGTGCACTCGGCCGGCGGATCGAGTATCGAATATCAGAATTCTTAGCTGTTTTTGTTGCAGTGCCAGGCGTTTTGACACGTGTGTGAATCCCTGCAGGCCTCCAAAAATCCAAAGGTCCCCTCTCCTTCCCGCGCCCGGCTCTCGTCCTGTCTCGGAAACACCGAAGATGGGGGCCAGGAAGAGGGGGGCAGCGAATCATGGCCCGAGGCATGTGCGCGGACGAGAGAGGGCCAAAAAACGCACTGAAAGAAGAAGATGGGGCAATGCAATAGAGGTGCCTCATCGCACTGACGATGGCATGCATCTACACACCCCATGTCCTCCCCCTCCCCTTCCTGGACGCTCCTGATCGTCCACTAACTCCCCCGCCCTCTCCCCCCACCCTCCTCCGCTCGCCTCCCCCCCCCCTCCCGCTCTCTCGCAGACGTCGCGCCCTCCCCCCCCCCCGGCGTGGGTGTCTTTGATCACGGCGCGTGCCCCCCCGAGGTCTGGGATCCCTCCCTGGGGCCAGCTTCTCGCCATGAAGTTCCTCCCTACACACCGGCGAGGGAGCGCGTGCGAGGGGAGGGCGGAGCCCCTGACACCACCAGAGCATGACGCCGTGCTCGCCCAACTACAGACGGCCAAGCAACTGACGCTACACGTGCATGACCTCGGCGAGCTGCGTCGCCCCACGTGGGGGCATCTCGTATGTGTATATACGCGTCCCCGAGGCCAGGAAGCGCCCCCCTGGGAAGCCGAAGGTGGCGAGAAGCCTTCCGCCGTGGTCCTTTGTTGCGGCGCGATGGGGCGGGGACCCCTCGCGCACCGAGCGCCCCAGACCTCAGGCCTCCTCCTCCTCCTCCTCCTCCTCCTCCTCCTCCTCCTCCTTCTCATCCTCCTCCTCCTCCTCCTCATCCTCCTCCTCCTCCTCCTCCTCATCCTCCTCTC